AAAAAAAATTAATTTAATTCATCTTGTATAGGGTGTAGGAAGTGGAAAAACGCAATTCTGAGCCGTCCATCTGCCTATACGGAACCCAAATTTCCTCAGGAATCGAATGGAATAGGTTTTAAGGCTCTATCTCTCATAGTTTCCGAGATAATCGCGAAAAACGAAAGTGCCAAAAAAAATTAATTTAATTCATCTTGTATAGGGTGTAGGAAGTGGAAAAACGCAATTCTGAGCCGTCCATCTGCCTATACGGAACCCAAATTTCCTCAGGAATCGAATGGAATAGGTTTTAAGGCTCTATCTCTCATAGTTTCCGAGATAATCGCGAAAAACGAAAGTGCCAAAAAAAATTAATTTAATTCATCTTGTATAGGGTGTAGGAAGTGGAAAAACGCAATTCTGAGCCGTCCATCTGCCTATACGGAACCCAAATTTCCTCAGGAATCGAATGGAATAGGTTTTAAGGCTCTATCTCTCATAGTTTCCGAGATAATCGCGAAAAACGAAAGTGCCAAAAAAAATTAATTTAATTCATCTTGTATAGGGTGTAGGAAGTGGAAAAACGCAATTCTGAGCCGTCCATCTGCCTATACGGAACCCAAATTTCCTCAGGAATCGAATGGAATAGGTTTTAAGGCTCTATCTCTCATAGTTTCCGAGATAATCGCGAAAAACGAAAGTGCCAAAAAAAATTAATTTAATTCATCTTGTATAGGGTGTAGGAAGTGGAAAAACGCAATTCTGAGCCGTCCATCTGCCTATACGGAACCCAAATTTCCTCAGGAATCGAATGGAATAGGTTTTAAGGCTCTATCTCTCATAGTTTCCGAGATAATCGCGAAAAACGAAAGTGCCAAAAAAAATTAATTTAATTCATCTTGTATAGGGTGTAGGAAGTGGAAAAACGCAATTCTGAGCCGTCCATCTGCCTATACGGAACCCAAATTTCCTCAGGAATCGAATGGAATAGGTTTTAAGGCTCTATCTCTCATAGTTTCCGAGATAATCGCGAAAAACGAAAGTGCCAAAAAAAATTAATTTAATTCATCTTGTATAGGGTGTAGGAAGTGGAAAAACGCAATTCTGAGCCGTCCATCTGCCTATACGGAACCCAAATTTCCTCAGGAATCGAATGGAATAGGTTTTAAGGCTCTATCTCTCATAGTTTCCGAGATAATCGCGAAAAACGAAAGTGCCAAAAAAAATTAATTTAATTCATCTTGTATAGGGTGTAGGAAGTGGAAAAACGCAATTCTGAGCCGTCCATCTGCCTATACGGAACCCAAATTTCCTCAGGAATCGAATGGAATAGGTTTTAAGGCTCTATCTCTCATAGTTTCCGAGATAATCGCGAAAAACGAAAGTGCCAAAAAAAATTAATTTAATTCATCTTGTATAGGGTGTAGGAAGTGGAAAAACGCAATTCTGAGCCGTCCATCTGCCTATACGGAACCCAAATTTCCTCAGGAATCGAATGGAATAGGTTTTAAGGCTCTATCTCTCATAGTTTCCGAGATAATCGCGAAAAACGAAAGTGCCAAAAAAAATTAATTTAATTCATCTTGTATAGGGTGTAGGAAGTGGAAAAACGCAATTCTGAGCCGTCCATCTGCCTATACGGAACCCAAATTTCCTCAGGAATCGAATGGAATAGGTTTTAAGGCTCTATCTCTCATAGTTTCCGAGATAATCGCGAAAAACGAAAGTGCCAAAAAAAATTAATTTAATTCATCTTGTATAGGGTGTAGGAAGTGGAAAAACGCAATTCTGAGCCGTCCATCTGCCTATACGGAACCCAAATTTCCTCAGGAATCGAATGGAATAGGTTTTAAGGCTCTATCTCTCATAGTTTCCGAGATAATCGCGAAAAACGAAAGTGCCAAAAAAAATTAATTTAATTCATCTTGTATAGGGTGTAGGAAGTGGAAAAACGCAATTCTGAGCCGTCCATCTGCCTATACGGAACCCAAATTTCCTCAGGAATCGAATGGAATAGGTTTTAAGGCTCTATCTCTCATAGTTTCCGAGATAATCGCGAAAAACGAAAGTGCCAAAAAAAATTAATTTAATTCATCTTGTATAGGGTGTAGGAAGTGGAAAAACGCAATTCTGAGCCGTCCATCTGCCTATACGGAACCCAAATTTCCTCAGGAATCGAATGGAATAGGTTTTAAGGCTCTATCTCTCATAGTTTCCGAGATAATCGCGAAAAACGAAAGTGCCAAAAAAAATTAATTTAATTCATCTTGTATAGGGTGTAGGAAGTGGAAAAACGCAATTCTGAGCCGTCCATCTGCCTATACGGAACCCAAATTTCCTCAGGAATCGAATGGAATAGGTTTTAAGGCTCTATCTCTCATAGTTTCCGAGATAATCGCGAAAAACGAAAGTGCCAAAAAAAATTAATTTAATTCATCTTGTATAGGGTGTAGGAAGTGGAAAAACGCAATTCTGAGCCGTCCATCTGCCTATACGGAACCCAAATTTCCTCAGGAATCGAATGGAATAGGTTTTAAGGCTCTATCTCTCATAGTTTCCGAGATAATCGCGAAAAACGAAAGTGCCAAAAAAAATTAATTTAATTCATCTTGTATAGGGTGTAGGAAGTGGAAAAACGCAATTCTGAGCCGTCCATCTGCCTATACGGAACCCAAATTTCCTCAGGAATCGAATGGAATAGGTTTTAAGGCTCTATCTCTCATAGTTTCCGAGATAATCGCGAAAAACGAAAGTGCCAAAAAAAATTAATTTAATTCATCTTGTATAGGGTGTAGGAAGTGGAAAAACGCAATTCTGAGCCGTCCATCTGCCTATACGGAACCCAAATTTCCTCAGGAATCGAATGGAATAGGTTTTAAGGCTCTATCTCTCATAGTTTCCGAGATAATCGCGAAAAACGAAAGTGCCAAAAAAAATTAATTCAATTCATCTTGTACAGGGTGTAGGAAGTGGAAAAACGCAATTCTGAGCCGTCTACTTGCCTATAGGGGAACGAAATTTGGTTTTAAGGCTAGAGCCGTCCATCTGCCTATACAGAACCCAAATTTCCTCAGGAATCGAATGGAATTGATAAAACACATGATAAAAATGTCCAAGTGTGCCGGAAATTTCAGGAAAAAAATTCTTAAAAGTGAGGAACCAAATTTATCCGGTATCCCGCTCCCCATAAATAGGAAGAGCCTTAAACCCATTGCAGGATGTGAAATACGATGCTGTCGCTATGAAATCAATATCCAACTACAAAAAAATGGGAAGTAGAATGTGTCTCCATCGTCTTGATGCCCCTCAACACCTGACGGTCTACGAGCGTATTCGAAGCCCCCCTGAACTTCAAATTTCCGTTTCTTCCGTCCCACCCGACGATAATTCCATTAATAATCCCGTGTAATGCGAATACAGAATCAACGTTCACTCGGCGGAAAAATTCGATTTTGCCGAAAGTCGACTTTCCCCCCGAAAAAAGCATAAATATGGCACTTTGGCTCTGGGTGAAAAAAAAATTTTTTTTAATTCTTCATTTCTGTGGTCAGTGAGGGGCGCAGTGGCATTGGGCGGCCCAGAAAATACAGAATCAGCGTTCACTCGGCGGAAAAATTTGATTTTGGCGAAAGTCGACTTTCCCCTGAAAAATCCAAGATGACACTTTGGCCTCGGGTGAAAAAAAAATTTTTATTCCGACATTTCTGGCGCTTCCGAGTGTTTCATTAGCATCATCAAACGTCCTTTTGTTCTGTTCAGTTCTCCCAAGCAGCGCCTTGCACCTCCGTATCACAAACCTCCCTGTTCATCCCAATCAGCTTTAGCGTCAAGGTTAAATTCGACCGTTACGCCGCAAAGATCGTTGGCGTCCGTTGCCCATCGCCAGCCTCCAACCCTCTTTGAGGATTAAAAAAAGACGAACATTGTTGACTGCCGAGGTATCGAATAAAGATGGACTGCACAACAACGGAGATTCGCGGGAATCGGTTCAGGTGCACCTGCTGCTTCTGCACTGGTGATGTTGGTTCTTGTATCGGCCTCGGGTGAAGCGAATGCGAAAAAAATAATGAGAGGAGAGAAACACCAAGAGGGATGGAGGATGGAAAAATGAAAGGCAAGAGGGCGAGTGAGCCACTGTGCGCGTACACCGGCGCAAACTCTCTTGTCCCTCTTTATATACCTGTGTTGCAACGATTCTCGAGCACCTGCCGTCTCAATTTTAGCCCCCCCGCCCCCCTTACGTACCTTTGATCCAAGATTGCCCCACTTGTGAATCACGGTGTTGCGTTTTGAAGATGTCAGATAATGAGGGGGGAACATTACACGCGAAATTGCGGGGAAAGGATTGCGATATTGAGATTTATTGGGGATTGGGGATTTTAATCAATGAAGGGGAGTGAGGGCTCATTAATGAGAAAAGTGGCCCCAGAAAAACGACGCATTTATAAAATCAAATTATTTATTTCAAATTATCCTATTCATTTCAGCAATACTTTTTTGGAAATTAATAAGCAACTTAGTCGATCCAAATGGAGAGGTATTACATGTTAATAAATGTTTTCTTTTCGTAAATGAAAATCAAGTTGGAGTATCTGCCATTTTCTTAGAAAATTATTTTTGAAAAATTCCGTCTCTTTTTGTCTCTCTGAAACATTCTCCCTTGAAAATCTGAGAGAACATTGTCAAACTGTTAACAATTGACTATTAATCATGTCCAGATTTCAACTGTTGATAATCCTTTTTTTCATAAAAAAAATCAATTGTACTAGAAAATTTTCGACCACTATCCTCTTTTTTTCTTCATATTACCCACAGAAAAAATGTTTCAATAGCTTTCACGAGGATTATAAAACAGAATAGTTGTCCTTAATGTTTCTTATCAGCAAAGTGTAGCACTTAGTCGAGTTAGTGGCCTTCAGTTCATCCAAACTAACAGTTTCGCTCAAAGTTTTTGCAATTCTAGGGCGGTCTCAGGGAGGCAGAGAATGAATGGAATTATATTAAAATAAATAACCAAATAATTATTCGTCATATGTTTTTAATCATTTTTCTTCAAAAACAATAGCATTGTATCTATTTCTGTGTTAGTTATTTCATTTAGACTCTCTTATCACTATTTTTCTTTATAATTATATTACTTCTAGACGTGAAATGCTTACAATGTGCACCTTAAAGAAGAAATATGAAAAAGTTGAGGCATAAATTCACTGGATGCTCTCTGCACGGCCGTTGCAAAATTATTCGATATAATTCATTGTTTCTCATTGCCTTTGAATTTTTCTTTTTTCAATAATTTCACCCATTCAATCTGACACACACATACACTCCTCTGCAACTCCGTCTCGTCACCACAATAATTTTTAAATCGTAAATTTACACATAAAAATTACACACTAGTTTTATGTTTACTGAGATCATACTAATACATCACAGGGTTACACATATTTGTTTTGTTTCAATATTTTTTTTTTTTAGTATTTCTAGGCTTTTTTCTTCCCACAGCTACTTTTCCGATGAATTTACTTATTCCCTACACTGAAGAATTTGATTATGAAGAAAAGTACCTTCGACTCGATTTAAAAAAAATAAAAGAATAAATTCCCGATTAAAAAAAAATCAACAAAAATCTCTGAATTTGATCGATTTGAGGATAAAAAATACCTCAAAGATTCACCGTTTCTGCGGAATTCCGAATTTCACAAATTTAATTAATCCAACATGATTTGAGGAACACGAATAACTGCTCCTCACGTTAAACAACTCACCACTGATAATTACAGAATTCAATCGAAAGAATTGTCCCTCACCTTTGTACCTTTTTTTGTTTAAAATCGAAGAAATAGTTTGTAACCACTAGTCGTATTTTTTGACTATAATCTCGAAACGAAATAGAAGAGAAAAAAAAACATGGGAGACGGAACGATATGATAGTAGTGATAAGACCGCAAAATTGGAAGGGAGGGGGGGGGAGAAGGAAAGGATGCACGAGAAGTACCGAGCTACTGTTGAAAAAAACACGATTAATATTTATTTAGTCAATCTGAGGACCAAGAATGAATGAGTAAAGAGAGGCACGACTCTGGCCAAAATCAACTCTCTCCTGTTGTCAATGTAAATTCATTTATTCTCCATTTTCCGGTGTTCACTCAATCGAATAATTTTTTTATAATAAATCAGAAAAACATTTTTACTGTTGGTTAAAGTATCTTTTATTTTGGATAGTTCTTTTAGATGGGGGAAGGAAATAAACTTCCTTGGTCTCGCAACAGGAATTAAGAGGGAGAAAGAATTAATTAATGAAGCAAAAGGGCGGTGATTTGGCATCGGCTGTACTTTTGTAGGTTCGTACAGGAGATCAATGCTTAAACTCTTGGGTAACGTAGAATAAGGCTAGGCTTTGTCGGGGGTATCCTGGTGATGGCCTTGAGGATCGATCGGTATTCACGCTTGACTTGTTGGTTTATTAAGGTATTTTGTTTGGAAAAGGCAAATGACGACTTTCATACGGAATTTAGGCAGAATGTTTATAATAACCGTCAGATTATGTACGATTTTTAATAGTTATTCACGTGCGAATTCGCTTCTTACACGTGGGATCGTCTGCAGATTTTCCTTCTCAGTTGTTAAAAATGTATAAATAGAATCTAGAAAAATTCTTTAAAAATTGTACACAATCCAACAACTACGATGAACGTCCTGTAAATCGAATCAGTCCCATCATTTTTTCCTCGCAAATAAAATTCCTTAACTCTAGTACGAAATTGTTTCATGAGTTGAAAATCAACGATTTTCTTCAAAAAGTCGAGGTCGAAGAAAGGTTAGTCCGCGAGTTTGGGGACGTGGCTTTAATGGGCTCGTCGCAAACACTCCGACCGTTTACTTTATGAAGATTTATGTTGATCGTCACAATTTTTCTTGATTCGGGCGGGACGTAGAGCAGTACGTGAAAGCTCAAAAAATTCACTCGGCTTAACTCGCTACTATCTCCGAAACTATCGAGTTTACAGATAAATGCCTGAGGACCTTTTTGCTAGGGCGTAAAATTCCCCACAAAAAAGCTCTTAACACATTTTCTTCTAAACCTCTTCCTCTCGAAGATATTCGCGATGGAAATTTGAACCCACCTCCTGATAATTAATTTACGATTCCAATCGGAATAAAATAATCTCCAACTAGTGAGCATTTTTGATTTAATACACAGAACGATATTCCCGGAGGAGGTATCAGCGATAATAGTGACATAGTACAATACAACTGGCCGCTATTATCCTCTGGAATCAACTCAAAAATCCCCCAGAGATATTTATCCCCATCCGAAACCAAAAAACAGATATTTCGACAGAATTTCAAGGAAAAAAACTCATCAAAACTTCATCGAAACATTAAAATCGAATCAAGAAAAACAGGAAAAGCAGAAATAGCGGATAATACACTTCGCCAAGCGCGAAATAAACCGATTATCACCTCGAGTGCCGACAGAGGCCCCTAGAAAATACATATACTCTGTTCTTAATCCTAAATTACAACTAGTCTTATCTAAACTGGCGTGTGCGCTTCCACGCTGAGCGTCTATTACCTAGATAAATCATTTATAAACTCCAAATCGCGCACATCGATGTTAATGAATAAAAAAAAATATATGTAAATATATTACAATAAATTTTGACACTTGTCATATTTTTTCTTCTAGCTTCTCGCTAGCCTAAGCCTAGCGATTATGAATCCTAATTATTTTCTTCATTGTTGACTTCCTTTTCTCGCAATAGATTTTCCAATTTATTCTCAATTTCTTTTAGAATTCATCATCGGGACAATGATTATGATGATGTGCCAAGACAAATGAATCAAAAACAATACCCCCCCTCCCCCCTCAAATGTTAATTATATTGAGAAATTTCTCACGCTTGTACCACTAGTTTGCGCCAATGAGTCACGAGATAATCCCAATACGCAAACGAACAGAAAAAAAGTCGATAATTAAGGGGATGACGCGCTTCAGGCGGATAAATCTACGTGAAGATAATGGCACAGCCAAAGGACTCGGTGGAATCACGTCGTATTAATCCACTAATATTCGATATTGCTGGACAGACTGCGATGTACCACCCGAGCAATCATTTATTTTCCTCAGTCAGTTTATCATGAAGAGAAATAAAGAGATAGAATTCAGGATGGTAGAGGAACTTAATTGATTTAATTTTAAAATTAGGGAAAAGAATTTTTGAGGCCGATGTGAATGACAATGAGTAAAATAGGGGAGATGTAAAAAATGATATGTGATGATGGGTTTAGCTGCGTATTTGGCCTGCGTTGCGGGCAATCTTCTCCGGGGGCTCCACGATGATCTTCTTGGTGCCGATGAGCGTACGTTTGCGACTTTTCATGAAGTCTGGAACAGATAAAATTGAGGCGGTGGTTAGGATTGTGGAGACTTGCTTTGGGCGAGTTTAGTAAGATTTTTTAATTTTATTCATCAGCAAAAGTGGTGGATTAGTTGGAGTTTAATGTATTTGGATGTACTTGGTACATCCGATTGATCGGAGTAAAATTTTCAGCCCTCCTCTATTATGCATCCCCCCTCCAACCCCTTTCGAAGTCCCAATTTTCGAGATTTTTTTCCCGAATTCTCGTAAGAGCCCGTGTTAAAATGCATTCTTAAAAAAAATTCCTCTGTTTCACCCATTCTCCTAGGCTATCTGGGATTTTGCATAGGGATTTTGAAAAAATCAAAGAATGTATTAAAGACCGCGCCATAAACACTTTAACATACAATTCTAAAGCATCTGCGACAAGCCTCTAAGGGTTTTACATCACCTCCTCTTTCGTAAGATAAAAAGACCCGTCCTATGTTTCGTTCGAAACACGGATCCCCCAACATCTGTCGACAAATTAATTGAACGCATAATTCCAATGTAAATGCAATTCTCAAGATTGATAAACGGAAAAACGTCGGATTACTTCAATTTATTATCCATTAAAAAGGATTTAAAATCCTCAAGCTTTGAATACTGATTTTCACCAATCGTAACTAATCGAGAAAGTTGTTCCAAAAATAGTCGTGTGTGATGTTCGGGTCGTCTGGGGTACGTGGGAACATCTGTTAATTTTCAAACCCCAGGACATTTTCCCTCCGACCGTCTGTCTCGCACGCGCCCATAAAGGGAATTCCCATCGGGGAAATCTACACTCCTGGTCACCCCTCTCGTTCCCATTGTATTCGAAGATTTGCATCGCACCCCGAAGAGGTGCGATTTATTACTATTCGAATGGGGTCCTGATCTACCCCAATGGCAAACTACATCTGCATCGGGATGTAGTTAAGGATGTTTAACCAAAACCCACATTATTCACCATAATTTTGATATTGTCTCGTATGCCAGGTTCATATTTGAGCCACACGGTAGTAATAATCTTAATCCTTCCATCGGGGCATCCTAGTGAGAAATTAATTTCTGAAAATCAGTCCTTGTAACATTACGCTTAGGGAAGAAACGTGACCGTGTGAACTTTGATCGAGATGTTGCATGGGTTAGACACTCAAGATATTGAAAAAAAACCACAAGCCATTAACTTTAGACTATGGAGAATCTATCGCCGGCGAGAACAAGTAGGGGACCGGGCCACATAGGCGTGATATCTTCGATTGATTTTCGAATTCCTCTAAAAAAAATTTGACCGCCATTACGAGTCGAGCAACGCGACAACACCGCACAACAGCTGATCGATGTCGGTAAAATCGATGACGATAATTCAGTGTTAGAAGCATATGGACACGTATAACACACAAACATTCATCTCACTGTTACAACCCCACTACTAGCCGAAGCGTGCGATGTTGCCCGATCAAAATTCCTGTTACCACCGCAGTCAAGTCCTCCGTTATTTATGAACATTTTCTTCAATTATTGTTTTTGAGACCGGAAAAATACGCCATAACACTTCTAATTTGATGAGAAAAATAATTTGTAACATGAATGGTTTATTTAGTCAATTTTATTTTTCTTCTCAACTGGGTTGTCCACTTGATAGGTTAAACATCCTTAATCGGGATGTATTGAGACTTTCTCCTTGAAGGGTAAGACTGCTAATTTTTCAAATTTTTGACCAAATTTTCTACCGAAAGTTATCGATATTTTTAAGAAGCAATGTGCTTTAGATTCAGAAAATATTCTAAAAAATTGTTGGTCTATTTTATAAACTCTCAGGGGGATTCCCCAGAAAAATTTGCCGAATTACTTGGATATCCTTAAATACGTTCCAACATCACTCCCAATGTCGGTTTCTCACGGACAGACGTAGCCATTCTAATCATCTTGTTGTTGTTTTCATCCTGAAGCTTTTTTAGTTTTATTGGGTTAGGAGCCTATATTTTAGGTTATTTTTGGAGGTCTTCAGCACCAAGGTCAAGATGGCGAAGTCCGTCTTGATAATTTATCGAGGGCGAGTGACTGCGCACACATTTACACAGGAAGAAAACGCGAATGGCGCCTGGGTTGCGGTTGGTCAGTGCAAGAGAGAGGGAATCGTGTCGGGTTGAGTTGATGGCGAGTTTCAAAATATTTTTGCGCAGTGGAGAAAACAGACATTTTTTATGAAATTATTAAGACGAGTTTGATTTCTAAAAGAATTTAGATTTTTGCTCGCACAATTGCGAAGGACGATTACGAATTTTCTGCAGAAAACTTCTGAATTTTCCAGCTCTGTTGTGATAAAGAACATTTTCCTTAACAATGTTGCAAAAAAGTTTTAATCCTCAAGTAAACTCAAATTATCCCACGGTTTTGGTTATTTTGAGAAATGTTTGTTTCAATTGAGAACATTTTCGTTCTTAAGTTGATGATTTCTTCCGTTCTAAAATGAATTTACTCAAATTTATAATTCCAGAGCCAATATTAACACATTTAGAATGATTCCAAATGATTTCTTCTCTCAGGAAAACGATTTCTTGGGAAAAATATTTGTTTTTTCTCAGCGAATGTTTAAAAAAAATGCAATTACATTCTGTGCAAAATGTAATTTTAATGACGCTGAATATTTACGATTTTTGTTCAATTTTTCTCACGCAATTTAATTGGCAAATTTAATGAGTGATAGTGATTGAATTTATAGTGTGGTCCGTACCAAACTGTAAAAGATACTTGAATATTCTTAATAATTACGGGTACGAGAACTAAAATTCAACACATGCAAGAGGTACCGTTACCGCTTCATTCACCTTAGGTTCACCTGTAATTTTCTGTTCGTGAGAAGCATGATCCTGCCTCCTTGCAATGAGTCTGGACTGAATTGAACCATTAAATTTCCTTCTGAATCGTGAATTCCAAAACTAAAATCGTGAGCGCAAATGGCCGGTTATGAATGAAAAATCTACATCTGGAATGTCTAGGTTTCGCTATGAAACACGAACGACCGAAAAAGCATAAAATAATCATGCGGGACACCTGGGACAATGTAGTGTTACGAATGCCGCTTCATGTGGGTCACTCGAGCTTCAATCTAAATGCATTTGGGGGAAGGCCATAGAGCGGTTATTCAGCATCAAAAGAATTTGCAGTAGTGATGCGGGCAATCGGTTCTACGGAATAAAATAATCAACAAAAGGCCATTCAACAACAATACCTGCAATTATTCTTTCTGTGTAAAGGTGATCGAACAGTTCAAGTATATACACACCTCATCTAAATTATGGAATTCTCATGCTAATGAGACATTTCAACACTAACTATCACTAATTGTCCTTGTAAGCTAATTTTCATCTCGACAAAAAAAACTACCAGATAATTTTTTTTCTAAAGTTTATCATTTCGTGAGTACAATCGTCTGAACGAACAGAAGAGAATTGAATTCTATTCTACGAAACATGAATAAACGATTCATAATTGCCCAAATCATTTAGGTCAGAAGAAAAGAAAATAATTCAACTTTCTTAATATTGCGTTTACTGAGATTTTAATTTTTAATTTGGTGCTGAAAACACGAGATGAGCAAATCATTTATTGTAACATGAAAATTTAACAGCGAACAAATTGAGAGTGTTGCTCTTTGCAATGAGGATATTTATAGACAATTAATTCAAAGAAAAACTCAACACCTTTGATGGCGCTAGTCAGTATAAATTTTTTCAACAACAGATGATGCAATTAATCTCATGATCGAACACCATCAAGATGGCGTTGGGAAGAATATGTTAAATCACAATTGGATTCATTTAAAAAATTATTTTCTCAGCTGAAAATTGCAATTTCGGATTTGACGAATGCAATGCTTCCGTTCGGCAGCAAAAAATGATGGAGAAAAAATTAAAATTCTGCAGATGACTCTGATCTCGCGATTTTAAACGCCTGGAATAACGTGTAAATCCCCTGTCTGTGCACAGCTGATACCCCCATGCACGTGGGAGCGGCACCACGCGCTCTCGTGGGGGTGAGGGTACGAAGCGTCAGTCGAGCGTGCACACACAATCGCTGGGGTGCCCCCCAACGAAACAGAAAGAGAGAGAGTGTGTGTTAGGGAGCGAGGGGAAAAACAACGTCACCCTATGCCCGTAACAGCTGACCGCTTTCTCATTAATAAAGTACGTTACGAAAATTCCGAGCATGCTAACCCCACCGCGTCCCTCTCATTCGATCCTCAAATCCTACGGATTTCCGTCGCATGCTTCGGGGAAAATTAATGCTCTTTATTATTCATAAATTTTTTCAACATATACGGAGAACGTACGGTTTTAGGAAATATCTAACTGTTTTACTGTGGACCTTTGGTGGGAATTTATTGAGGAAAAAATTCATTTCTATAGATCATGGGAATGATTATGAAACTGTGAACGTCCTCAAGTGATTCAGAATTTTTCTTTAACAATTTTGTGAGTGAGAAATTGTATTAAATTATCAGAATAGTCTATGCTATTTTGGATATTTGAAATTAGGGCTTCTGCAGAGAAGAGGAAAAATTATCAAGTGAAATTAGTTTTTTTTTGTAGATGAAAAAATTTCCCATAAAAAATGGAAACTTGTTAATTATGAAACTATTTCAGAAGCAATCGACTCTAGAAAAAATTTCAAGAGTCGTTTTTTAATGAGGAAATCTCCGATTAAGAAATTCCCCTGACCTTCACCAAAATGAGAAATTGACGATTTCAACTTTCTCGCCACTTCTTATTTATTCCCCCTGCACTCAATAAAATCCAGCAACGTCTTGTTCACTTCCCAAAATAGTATCCTCGTGGGTGTTAGTGCAGCGAAGCGAATAATAACGACAGAAATACTCCCGCTCACTTGGGTGAATAGACCCCGATGCTCTCCCATTATCAGCGCATTATATGCTTTACAAAAAAATCACTTCATCTTCGATAAGGAAAAAACAGAGGCACAATTTTTGTCGCGTGCATACGACCTTCGTAAAGAGAAATTAAAATTTGTGATAACGCATTCTGCGGAGTTTGGCGAGTAAATACGGGCGTACGTTCGTAGTAGTAAGACAACAGCCAAGTTTAATTAACATATTCGAATAATTGCATGTGAACTCGATTTTCATGACGTCACTATGGCACATTGCCCTTGCGAATGACAAAGTGATTAAAAAAAAAATGTTCTGAATTTACTCATAAATTTCACTCAACATCACAACAAAATATCTTTTTTTTTGGTCCTCGAAGTTAAGACTCCAAAATTAGGGATCACAAGGTCAATAGGTTGAGAGTAAGGCTCATGAGAGACTGAGTAAGGGTCACCAAGGTCCGATTAAGGATCATGAGGATAGAATAGGGGTCACGAGAGTCAGATTAAGAATCGCAAAGGTCAAATTAAGAGTCCAAATAAGGGCCGCAAGGGTCAAAATCAGGGTCTCAATATATCTCTATATTATAAAAATCCAAATCGACTTCTGATGATGAAAATTTGGGTCACAAGGGTCAGGTTAAAGGCCTAAATAGGATAATAAGGGTCACAATAGGATAATAAGGGCCAGGATCACAAAAATTTAACAGCTGATAAATTAGGACATATGATTCTCATCGGTCGCATTTATTTTTCCAATGCGAATGATTATAAACAATAAATTGAGAGAAGAAATATAGAATATAGAAATTGATGAAAAAAATGGAAATTTTTTACTCCCTCAATAGAATTATTTTGTTCGCATTGCGATTTACCAAGACACAAGAAAACTTTCTCTCGTGATTTCATTCCCCTGACAACGATAAAACGCATCAACAGGGTTATCACAAGGTGCGTAGCAATGAAAATAATAAAAAATCAATAATCAAACATGAACTCTCGGCCTGCATCTCGCAATACGCAAGCATCTCGTGTCAACACGAGTCGTATCAATACCCGAGGGCTTTATTAACGATTGATTGAACCCAAACAACTGACTACGTGTCGTTGTGAATTAGTTTAAACTCGAGACGCTTCAGAAGCGACGATACGTGGTCTCAGAATCCTGACGCGTTTGCATCTGACTGAGTGCAATGACTGATAGAAAACATCCGGTATTACTCACACTCCTCAACAAACTCTTGGCCAAACCATTCCCCTAAAATTAAGGAATGAAATTCTTTTGCACAGCTGGGATCGTTATCTCCCTCCAGATTTTGGCAGTTAATTTATTAATTGCATGCTCAGCTAATATTTGATGGTTAATTCTGCCGATTGAATGATGCGGGATTGATTACCTCGGTGAGACGAAATCGACAGGATAATGAACGAAAATATTTTGGCAATTTTTTCTGGTGACAAAACGGTGGTGGGGAATTTACATTGTTGAGGGAGGTTTTTATTGAGGATTCAAATTTCAAATTTAAAATTCCAAATTTCAGCCAATAGAATTCCACTATTTTACTGTTATTTTATGTAGTCAACACGGTATTGAACCGATAATTTTTGATAATTCAGACCCCAGACCCTTACCTGTGATACTGCTCTGCTTCCTCGCAGCCGGGGTTATCACAGGAGTAGTAGGCTCGACCTGAGCCCTCTCCTTCCTGGAGTTCTCGTTGGCGAGCACCTCCTCACCGGCCCCTTCGCCAATGCCAGGCACCCTGGCAACCTGAGGAGGTGTCGTCTCCGTCTTCCCCTGGGAGTGCCCATCGGTGGCCATCGGCGAGACACTGACCCCCCGTCTCTTCCACCCAGGACTCGCCTTCCTCGGCGACCTGGACGACTGCTTCCCCAGATAAGGCATCCCCCTCAGGGCATACGTCTCCTGCACCCCCAACCCCGGCTCAATAACCTGCCAATCGTACTTGGAATTGCCGGTGGGCATCTCCAGGCGAAAATCAAAGCCCCATCTCTTAGCATCGATCACCGATTGCGCCTTCAGCTCTCTATCAACCAGCGCCCGCGCTGCTGCATGATCCACCGGTCCAAACAAATCCCGTCGGACTCTCGCCAATGCCTCGCGATTAGGCGATGCCCTCTTACCACCCCCTAAATTCCTGCCCATCTCACTCATCATCGCCGGATTCATCACCCTTGCGCTCATATTTTCAGCAATTAACGCGGTCACTAAAACCGCCCGCCCAATTGTCAATTTCACTGTTTATCCGTTACTCGAACACACGAACGATCACTCGTGTCACTGTCCTCGGCTTCATTGGTCAATTTCGGGGAGCAGCACTAGAAACAGTCGTTTCTAACCTTTAATCGAGTCACTCGAACTTTTTATCAACTACTCCAGTCCTAGGCTCTCACTATTTTCCGGAATCAACGGCTTGGCAACCGTGCAGACCGATTTTTCGATGATGAAAGTCGACGCGGGAGAAAGGTTAAACCTCACTATTCCGCTCCGTGTATTAACTGAGCAATTATCTCCCCCCCCCGGGAGATTTTCCCCTCGTTTTTGTGATTGAAAATAGGATTTTTAATGACTATAGCAACACTCATTTACTACGATCCCGAGTATCACTGGGTCAAAAGTCTACTCAACTATTGTTCCCTCACTTCCACCCAAATAAACCAGCATCAACTCCTCCCACTTGGACGCTCTCTCCGTCTCACTTATTTCTATCTTCTTTTTTCTCCTGGCAACACCGTAATAACGAGCCTCTCCTCGGATCCTCTACCCCGTGTGTTCGTAAAACCGCGGGGCTTTCACAGCATCGAAAACCGGCAACGTCGCACGCACTTGCGTGCTAGAGGTGGAATGAGTTGGTTACGTGGTATTCGAATGGTAGACGCTGGGAGCGGGAGTCTCATCAAAAATCCCTATCACTCGTGAACAATCTCCAGGCGGCTAGCGACAATGCACAATAAATTTCGATGATCCAGCCACTCAAAATCACTCTGTTGGTACGGTAATTATTTTATTCATTCACGATTGGTATTGCACGTCGCCCGTAACCTCCAGAGGCACGTGATTCGTCCGCTCTCACTGGACAGACGCCACTAGTCAAAATTATCCGCGTGCATCAACTCCACAAAATCTTCCCGCCCAAAACCAAAAGCACCGAAAATGTGCGGAAATTCACAATTGATTGGGCGCACACTCGGGGAAGGGCTTGATTAGCTGGGAAAATTGTCGGCAAAATGATGGAGTAACTTTTTACACTTGGACGGCTCAATATTTGAAATTAATGATCAATGGGAGTGCGCAGTTAGTCGTGTGCGGTGGACTTTGGGAGCGGGGCGGGGAAAAAAATGCTCCGGAGAGCGCGAACGAACGTAACGCACGTGCGAAGCGCTCTCTAGCGACTGAGCGGCGCGCCGATGCGGCGCAGACACTCCGCTTTCCAACTTTCGTCGCTTGAACGTCGGGAGTTGTCGGGACTTTTCGGCTCGGGGAGGGGGACTCCGGCGTTTTTAGACGCATCGGCCGTGGGCTTTACTCCTTCGCTCTACGAGCAAAGGCTTCTCGTGTTGGTTTCCATTTCGAATTCTAGCGGGGGGTGGGAGGGGGGAGCGTCCTCTACCCCCGCCTTCTTTGTCCCTCGCCCACAACTTTTTTTCCTCTCTTCGAGCCTCACCCGCCCCGCACCGTCGAGCGGTCCGCGTGTCCGACGAAATAACCGCCACTTCGAACTCGAAACCCCGCGCTCCCCCCGGCGGGGAGCGCTGCGTAGTCGTGGTTCCATGTATACTTTGCTCCGCGCGAGCGCATGGGATGAGGTGGAGAGTTGGATGGAAATGGCCGGATTTAGCGGGATTGATGGGGTTGGAGGATTTTTCTGCTGGGGGAGATTTGATTTTTGGGGGGTTTTGCGCGCCGCGAAGGGAGGGGAGCGCACGAATTATTTCGGAGCAAAAAAATTTTTGAGTCGATTTTTATTTTGTATTTTTTATTCCGGAGCAGAGATTGATTTTTAGGCTAGTTATTTTAGGTGTTCACGATTTTTATTTTGGAGCTGGTAGGAATTGGAGGGAAATTTTCGGAGCGAAAAAATTTTTTGTTGTAGATTTTATGGGGAGAGAACGTGGATGATTTATTTCAAAATAATTAATTTCTTATCTAGTCTGCTTTTCATTATTTTCATCTCCTTGGAGGGATTTGTTTGTAGAATTTTTCTTCAAAATTTTTATGGGCTTTCTCTTTTTGTCAGTCTGTTTTGTAGTAAAAGTATAATTTTTTATCAATAATTCAAATTGTTTTTGGAGCAGAATTTTAAATTTTTGATTAAGTGTTTGGATCATCTGTTTCTTTCCGTTTTTTCAAAAAAATACAATTTTGTTTTCAATCTTTAAAAAATGGGATTCAATTTTTTGCTGGAATATTAGTGATGTTATTTTTTGGAACAAAATTATATTTTGACTTCAGTTTTTTCCTTCATTTTTGTTTTTTAATGATAATTTTTGAGTCGTTTTGGGGCCCTAATTTCTTTTTCCAACCTAGTGCACAAGTGCTCACGTTCCATTCTATTTATTTCAAGGGGACTAGTTCCCGGGGAGGGGGAAAACGCTTGGTTTTCTTCTTATTGCGGTAGCCAAACTGATTTATAAAGACGAGACGAACGCGTATCTCGGTAGCTGCCTCCCCTCTCGCTCCGCACGTATTTACAACCAAAACGGCGGGAGAGGCTCGTTTTCGATACAACTGAGATCATAGAGTCGAAATGCGAGTCGTCTTGTGGAAATAGATGGTGATTATTTTAACGAGGCATCGTTACTACCGCCGATTATTTTTCTTTCATTCGGGGATAAATGACCGCCGTTGGCCGGGGAACATAAATGGGTTAATGGTATTTTTTGACCCCGCGGGGATTTATTACGATTTTTCCACTTATTTAATTTTTTTTAATTAATATCTTTTAATTGAAGAATTAAAATCTTAAAATCATCAATTGAGGATTACAGAAAAATACGTGAATTTATGTCAATTAATGGCTATTCTTCTTTTACTCATCAATATTATTTCCTAAATTTTAGGATATCTTCTAATTATTTTCTTATGACCCTTATGACCCTTGGCCCTTAGGAGCCTAAAGGTCCCAAGGGTCCGTAGGGGCACAAAGATCAACTTCTTTGTCCCTTGTTGTAACATCAAATAGAATTATAATCAAATAATCAAATAAGGTAATTTTCATGGCTTCCAAAAAAGGTCCATTAACTTTTTACTCCAACCCCATCTTCCCTTCAAAATAAACCCTCTTCACCGCGACTTCAATCATCGAACTAATGATACCGAGAAATACAGCACAGGGTGATGACTGGAAATCCGTTGTTATTGTTTCATACTATCCAATGTTTTGACAAGTCGATTAGCGTAACCACCGCTGGCCCTCTCAATGGTCCCTCGAGGCTCCCCGGGGGTAAACTCCCCGACAATGAATGGAAATTCACAACTCAACAGAAATTACAAATCCTCACGACGTGACTTGCGTCAATGGCGATTTACTACTCAAATATCTTCATTTTTTCATAAAGTCATAAAGTTGGATACACGGGGAGAAAGATTCAATCAAAATTACCGGAAAGATAACGTAAAGATGACGTTTCGAAACGTTACGGAACAAGTTGTTCCGTAATTTTCCCCAACGATTGAGAAATTTTACGGAACGGAACGTAGAAATAACTCACCGACTTCATAAAAATTGCTGAACGTTCAAGAATTTTTTATTTTCGAGGCACAATAAGTCGCCAAGTTTCTGTAAGATTTTACTTCTTCGGGATAAATTACGTGGCAATTTCGTACTTTGTTCGGTGATGAACCTGAAAATTCACCGAACACTTCAGATTTCTTCTCTTCCATGCCTATAAAAATTGCCGGAAAACAATTCTCCATTGCGGATTACGTGAATTGTTCCGTAATTTCTACTGAATATTTCTCTCCGTGTACTCTTAAAACTACATTCTCAAAATCAATTTGATTTGCAGGGGTGATTAACGCGTATTATGTATTTACTCAAAAATCCCCGGGTAACGCAAGTTTAACCGTTTATTTGCATACTGGCCGAGATTATTCGGCCGAGTTTATCCTTGTGCGTTTGGCGATGTGTCAACGTCGACACGTTCCACTACGCCCTGGGCTTCTCCACGAATTTTGAGTGGGGGATATTGCCAAGTCTTATCTTGTTTTCGCGACTGAGCCCGCCATTCCCCACTTTCAGGGACGCACAGCGAAAACAACCAATTATTATCATTATTTTATTTATTTATTTTCTCCAAGAGATTGATTTTTACTGAAAGTTTTATTTTCATTCGCACCTGTTGGTCGATTATTTCCGGAAGATGTATCAGCGAAATTCAGGAGAATGGGTTTATTTTTCCGATGAGGAATGCAGTTAGTTGATTTATTTAATGGAATTAATGGGAGTAATTGTTGTGGGGTTTAAGTAGTCGCGACTTTTCATTGATAATCGTCAATTTACTTCATTGCCGCCTGACGATTTTATTGGCGGGCGGGAAAGCTGAGAGATGGTCTCGTGGCCTCGTGTATGCTCTTGTAAACACCCAGCGAAAACTCTCGGCGAGTCAAGCGTAGATGAACGATCACGCGGGACAGCTAAATCGGGGTTTTGAAATTATTGACTCGTTTGGTGTTGATAATTATTTTTCCCCGCCGGTTCCGCGAGAGTTTCTGGGGTCTTGACATTTTTACTTGGCTCTGGGTCGTAACCGGAGGGTCAGTGGATTTTTTTCAATGCGAAATTCACGGTTTTGAGGGAGGAATGACGAAAAAATAAAAAATTCTGAGACTTCATTTTTCATGCAGGCGTGGAGTTGGGTAGCCACGCGGGTGCCATGGCCTCCGCGGCATTTTCTAGAGTTACGAGTTGTGTAGGTGGCGCTGGGGGCCTTGGCGCGACGCTTGAATTTAAATTTTTTTGTATTTATTCGTTTGATTATATTGCAGTATTTTATTTTACTTCCATTTCCGTCTTCACAATTGGATTAATTCAGTTATATCCATTCTTATTCTTATTATATATATTTTCCTTTCCTTTATTCATAAGTTACAAAATTGAATGAAGTGAAATTATGTTGAGATGTTTCGGTTGAAAAGTCAAACTAATGCAAAAAAATTGGAAAATTCTTCTGCTCAGTGTTTGTCTCCAAAATTGCACAGAGAAAGGCGGAAGCATCCGCTTGCATTAACCTCAAATTCATATTTTCGTCTTCTATTCGTTATCAGAAGTACTCGCGCACCAGTGGTTCATAAGCTCGCTGATTAATTCTTTATACCACTTGATAGTGGGCACAAGGTGAGGTGGAAAACGAGATCTGGGTTAGAAGCGCGACTGCGATACTTTCCCTTTCAATCGCGACGGGGCTTACACATACAGCCAACGAGTTCGCTGAAATCAGAAATAAAATGAAATAAAATATTGAGCTTATCAGAGCCATCGTACGTGGAAACCCGTTCAAGCGCGTTCTGACGAGTTACGATTTTTATAATTAAAGCAATTGCATCAGCAGAGGATGAATCAATGAGAGGTATTCTTTTTTTGCGAGCCTGGGATTTTTATTTTGAATGAAATGCGTTGTATTTTTGGTTTCACGAAAGGAGATTATGGGATTTTTTGTATTTTAGCTTTGACGAATTTCATTGTTCGCGGGGCTACAATTATGTACGACTTCCGTGGGAATTTCGGTAACGGAAATGCAATCTGTACAGTCGAGAGAGCGACAGGTTCTAAGCAGGAATAAGAATAAGACGAGCCGAGTCGAATAATTTTACATTGCATGATAAAAAAAGAAAAAAATTTCTTAACGTGCAAATATTTGATAACAAGTAATTCCAACAGAAATTTTCAATTTTCAACCGTGGAAACATCCTCGAAGAACCCATTCTCACCATTTATGACTCCTTGTAGAGTACGAGGCTGGAAAAAAAGACTCATTCCCCTTAGGTCAGCAGTACATGCACCAGCTCCCCTAAAAGATTGAAAATTCCAATGGGGAATTTATTCGGAATCAATTATGAAATTCATACAATTGGAACATTTCTATTGAAATAAATCTTACGAGTTCATTGATTTTCAACGAAAACTATCGTTGAAATAACTAGGAAAACATTCGAGGAAGAGTCTTGTTCGATTCTAACATTTCATTTCTTCGAGTTAAGTGACAGATGTACCCTTTAATGAAATTTTCTTCAGCACCCTCCTTCCTGTACAGCACTCGACCTCTCTTGATGACGGAAGACACGCGCGTCCCGGGAATCCGACACAGTAGAGGTTGTAGATCTTTGGGAGCCGCGACTGAACAAGCGTCAATCTGTAATATCACGCTGGGAGAAAGCATTTCTCGGATCTGTGAAACAAGGCGTCTTTTTATGGTAATTATAAAGCTACCCAAAATTAGTTTAGTCCGCCGCTTCACTGATTTTTCGAGATAATCGCCGGATAACGGGACAGAAAGACATTCTCTAAAGAGAAATTTTTCAACATTTATTATCGTTTTCCTTGCATTAGTTCTTTGTACATACGTTATTGCACAATTAGTGAATTTCGTGCCCTACGACTCTCTTCGTTTGGCCTTTTATTCAGCCGATTAATATCACGCTTACAAAATCGGGGGTAAATATATTAATTGTATACATTAATATGACAAAGGGATAATAAATTAATCGTGGGGAGGCATAATTATTGTTTTTCACATTTGACTAGAGTCGAAAATTTTGAAGAAAAATTTTACACTTAATAATTTAGATATTAAAATCACTAATTAATTTTGAAAACCATCACAAATTATTCTTTCACATGATTCATCTCACTCGAATGGTCTACAGGTACATCATCAATATCAAATTCAAGTCTTTTCCAACCACGTGGTTTAAATAAATGTAAAAAATACTGAACGGTCTCGTCCAATAGTAAATTGATAATAAAAAAATGAGTGAGAGAATTTTCGTTAGGTATTAGTATTCTCGATTTTGAGAATAGAATTATTAACTAGTCTCTCTGGTGCTCTCGTCTGAGAGCTGAGCATTTCCGGTGGTGGTTGAGTTTTCGTCTGGCTCTTGGGCTGGAGGGGGCGATTCGTCGGGTGGAAAGTCCTCGTCTGCTTTTATCCACTCGTAGCGACCTGGCAGTGGTTCACCTTTATCGAAATCAAAATTCCATTTTTCTTTGGCCTATAAAATGAAAAAAAAAAAATTCAGCAAGGGGAGGTTCGCCTCGGGAACAAAACTTTTGCGTTTTTGGAGAGAAAAAAACTTCAAAACTATTTTCCGACCGCTAAAAATTGGAGATTGGAATTTTTTCTAGTAACAAAAATCAACTTTTGTAAAATCCCCAACGTATTTTTTTTCGAAATAGTTTTTTAAATATGATCACAAATTTTCGCTTCTTAATCGTGAAAAATACGGGAGAAGATATGTTTTGAAGTCCATTGGTCAACCTGAAAAAAGTCATTATTTTCCGTACTTAAAATATTGTCATCTTGCATTTTTGTCACGAAATTAAAAATGCATTTTAACACGCTGTTTTCAACCGATACCAACGAGACTTCAAAAATAAATACCAATTTCAATTACTCAACAATTACATACTTGCTCGAAGCTTTCTCGCGCCTTCTCGACGAACCTATTGGCCTCGTTATCAGCATTCCCCTGTGGCTCAGTGGTCGCCTCGTCCTCATCGTCCTTGAACAGTCGTCTCCTCACATTTTTCAACTTCAACGCCTGAGTCTCACCATTTCCCTCCTCCATCGCCAGTCTCGCACTGAAATTCAACTCCTCAAAATTAATTCCTCTTATATACCCCCTCCGAGACCACTAATATTTTTACACACGTTATTTTCGCAATTATTCAACCAAGAGAAATAATCACAACGATTCTCCGCACTTCTGTTGATAAAATAAATAAAGTCACGACGAAGGTCACGAGTTAAATGCACTCTTGCACTCTAATGTTTTGTAAATACTATGGCGCGTGCCTGGAGGCAATGGAGACCCGAGGTGCGTCACGATGACGATAAAATAAAAGCGGTAAAGAAGGGATAGGCCGCATTGTATCGAATGCAAGAGAAACGGGACACGAGAGAGCCGCATAGTCTCGTCGTTGTTGTTGACTTGGTTTTATTGTTCTGTCAGTTTCTAAGTACCGTTCAACGGATGTGTCATTGGTGGTTCAACTTCCGCTGTTGCTTCACAAATCCATGCCTTTACCAATAATAAATTTATAGAGAACTCTTTCAATGTTGGAAAGAATCGATCAATTATTCCTGGAATTTTCATGATGGAATGACGGCATTTTAATGCGAATCATTATGTGTAAGAGCCAGTGACGTTTCGGATGAAGTCATTTCATAAAATATGAACGTTTTTATGGGCCAAGTATGCTCTCATTTGGGTTGAAATGTTTTCCATATCGAGAAAAAGATACAGGAAAAATTGCGTGGCAATTTAAATAATTGTTTAGCGCAATAGGAAACTTTTTAAAACATTTGATTTTTTAAATTGAAGTATCTGGAAAATTATGGAATTTTTTTGAACAACATAATTCTGGAAATTTCGAAAGAAAGTGAATTGTTTCCAACGGATGAATTATTTGCCCGTTTTAAGGTATAGGATACAGTAGACTTTCGCTAGTTGCTCATCGAAAGGGCTATAGGGGTAGCATTTCCAAGGAATGACCAACTTTTCAGCGGCCCCCACTCCTCAACCAATGCCGACCCAAGTTCTCAGAAAAATGAGAGGGAAGAATAGTTTTATTTTTTAATAAAATTATTTGGACCTCTGTGTTTACGTACAGAGGACGAAAGAAAGCGATAAGACGGCCGAGAGTGGGGGCAGCGCTAGAGCGTCCGAGAAGGGGATCAGGGGAAAACGGGCAACTAACGGGAGTGCAACTAGCGAGAGTCTACTGTATAATATAATAAACATAACTTAAATCCAGAAGATGCAACTCTGAAATAAGTTCTAAACGGAAGTTCATATTGTTTAATTTCTATTGTTTAACAAAATAATTGTAGCGAGAATTAGATGGATTAATTTTTTAGTTTCGTTAAAGTTAGAATTCGCGTAAGAAATTATCAATGAGGAACAATTTTTTCAAAGCATTTTAAATTTATTTATCCTCACTACACTCAACGGTTGACGTGGAGTTTGGATATACTACTTCAATTCAAATTGTCCGTTACGCGATGTTGCCGGAACCTTGCGAAACGTGTCTGGACAGTGTAGAGCGAATTCGGCAACGCTGGAACCTAAATAACACGCGGCGACTCCCTATGAATATTCAGCGTTATTCAAATTACATTTTGCCCAGAATTAGTATTTTTTTAAATAGTCATTGTTTATAAATTATTTATTGACAATGCTCGTAATTATAAAAAACTGCAAGTTTTTAAATATTTTCTAATGGTTTAATATCGAGATTCAAATTCAGACCTGCAAAGTTCTAATAATAAAATAATATATCCTGCTTACATAAAAATCGGAGAAAAATTCAGTAGCGAAATTGTAAAACGGTTCAAGTCTCATCTCCCAGTTGAATTTTTGAGGAATATTTCCGAATCTAAGGGAGATAGCGAAATTATCGTAATAACATTATTATTAACATTATTTTGGGGAAAAGTGCGAAACGAATATGCCCCATCCAGTGAACGCGAATTGCTCAAAAATTCAATATTATAGACTTCAAGTAATGCAGATACATTCTGCCAAGGTAACGAAAGAGCCTTGAAGACAAATTTTCATATCCCACTATTCCCTATCAGCAAACACTTTGCACACTCGCGTGCCACCAATAACTGTGCGCTCACTGATTAGACCGTCCGTCAAGGCCGTTTTTCTCCACACAAACGTCAACACTCTAGCTCTTTAAATCGCGTGTATCCCAGGAATTTCCTATCTCGATAGCCACGTGGAAATGCAGGACAAAACTCAGACTCGAATCCACATATAATCCCAATTATTGCGAATATGTGACAACACTCACAGCATTTCCGCGAATTACGCGACTCTTTCTGCTTGATATTGACGTATTGAGAGCCTGTGGGGATCATCGACGACTTCTCAGCGATGATTCACTATTGTTGTCGTGTGGGGAGCAATTTTTTCCCCTGGAAACGCGGGGCCAACAAACTGGATAAGACGCGACCGGTGTAGACACTGCTAGGAATCGATAGCTTTATCGTGGGGGTGCGTGAGCGGTTTATTGGGGGTCCTGCGCGCGCACGTGTATTGTCCCGCCTCGCGAGGCACTGAATGTGCTGACACTATTGCAGCGACGCCAATTAACATATTCGCGGGTAAACAAAGTCGAGCTCGATTGGTCCAATGATCTAATGATTTACTCGTCGGTAACAAATTTTCGTCACTTGGGCGTAAAGTGGAGCTTACCACCCGAGCCTTTGGCTCGGGCACGACTCCTTTATTTCGCCTCCCTAGGTTAGAAATATAGTATTGTGTCATTAGGTCCGATAAACCGCGATTCTAACCTCGCTTCGCGTTCGCTCCGTCAGATCGCGGTTTTTGGGGTGAAACGATAATACTTTTTCGTCACTAGACGAAAATTGCGGTTTTCGGGCCCAATGATAAAATAGTTATTCTCGTCACAAGGACGCAATGCACTAGATTACGGCCGAGTGTAAAGTCACGAGCAGGTGGCGCTGTCGAGGCGAAGCCGAGGCCAATCTGTTGCATTATGTCCGCGAACTGTGCCTTTTTTCGTTTACAAGTAAACGAAAAGACTTTTCGTTCAGGAGTAAACGAAACGTACTCTACGCGATTCGCTGTTTTCGCGCCCAGTGACAGAAAACATTCTTCATTACTAGCACCGATAAACCGCGATTTTAACCTCGTTCGCTTTTTTCTCTTAGTGACGAAAAAGTATTATCTGACGAATGTGTCCTCGCCTTCGGCTCGGATTACACTCACGTTCGTCAGGAATACTTTCATCGCCGTGTGACATACAATATTTTGTGTCCCGAAAACCGCGATGTGACCGCGCGAAGCGAGGTTAAAATCGCGGTTTATCGGGCCTAGTGACAAAAAATAACTTTATCGCGTGATGGCATAATGCCCTACTTCGGCACGCGGTGAAGGGGCTCAAAAGGCCCACCAGATTTTTTTCTATGCAAAAAACGGAGTTTTACCAGAATTGTCAGCGAATTTTCGCGATCCGCTATTCCGTAATTTTCGTTTGACTTTTTTCACAATTTTTTGCTGATTTTTTTTTGTTTCGTAATCTAACCTCTCCTCAATTAATACCGATTCCAGGCTCCGAACCCTGAGGCAACCTCGAAAAATCCCCCACCACACCAGCCACAAGTGAAGCTCACTCTGCTGCGATCAACGGAGGCTGAAGTGCAACTGACAGAATAGAAGGTAAGTGCGCGTCAGCTAGTTGTGCATTCGCGTTCTAGCCTAGATTCTCCACTGACCGCGACCATGTGGGAGGGGGGTAGGTTCCCCCCTCCCTCCCCCCCTTGACCGGGACAATGCACTACACTGTCCATTGTGCGGTCATTCATCCCGCTGGCATGCATTCTCCCTCGGAAGAAAAGAAAATGCCCAATCCTCCAGCTTTGTTTACAAAAATCACGCAATACTTTGACTTCCTGATTCTCATGAGATTGAACGACCAATGGAGAATCGTGTGTTTAAACATGGGATGAATGACCGCATAAAAATATTCATGGACATAACGGCTACTCCTGTATGTATGCAACTCCTCCGTCCAATGCGAAAATCTCATGGGAGGAGCTCTGTGATAACCACATCATGCGGTGAAGGCATTGCCATGTGCATTCTCATGTGGAGGCTTACTTCGTCAACAAGAGGGATAAAAAAAATCACGAGGCACACTTCTTTCTTGTTTATGGTGAGGAGAATATATTAAGAGGAGGGGTAGTGTTTTATGACGGTGTAAATAGAGTTTTAGGGGTAATGGGGAGAGGAATCATTGCGGTTGAATTAATTGAAATTCTTGGGGCTTTAATTTCATTTTAATTCTGGGGTAAATGACGGCTGATGCGGTGTAATTATTTTTAGATTGGAGGAATGCTTCCTAATTGTGCATTCCAGTTGATTGGAGATTGAAAGTTGGAATTAAATTGGACAGGCAGGGAAATTTTTTGATGAAGGAGAGAAGACAGTTCGTCTTGGTGAAATTAGTTTTTGATTCTGAATGGATGCTTTGTAATCGTTGAAATTTGAGTTTTGGATTTTTTGTGTTTGGTGTGTGATTGGCGATAGATTTAATCAATCCATTGTTCTTTCTACTCATCTATTTATTTTTTCTGCTCATGAAATTCTTGAGGTGATTCATCGTTGACGAACCCATTACCCATTTAAATGGCATTCGTGTTAACAGAGGTCATGGAGTCATAAATAATCGAATCGCTGCTGCAATTGAGGACAGCTTTGTCATATTTTCGACGGGCATGTGACTGTTAGAATTTTTGAGGGAGAACGTGAGTCGTGCAGCCTTTTTTATCCACTTAGCAACGGAAGTTTATGGGAATCCTTGACGAAGCGCATGTCCTATGTGTCTTTGAGACGTGGTTAACCGAGCACGACTCGTCCATGCATCGTTCTGTTGTCATGCGATTCTTTCTAGTGCGAGTCATACGTGAGCCGTCCGCCTTAAATCGATTGCTCCGGCTTGGAGCGAGTGGGAGAATGCGATTGTTTCAACTTGTGGTCGAGACATAGTCAGGAACGATTCTCGATATCCATACGTGGATGGGAGGATGAGATTAAAATGGTCTATGAAAATTGTTTATTTGCGGTCGAAACTGCTGAAGAATTTGAACAAGGAGAGGTCCTTTTACTTGTTTGTTTAAACAAATGGGATTTCCGAACATGAATAATGAGATAACTCAACACAGAAGAATAAGATGAGTCTTTTGAACAAAAAGTGGACCAGTAAATACGGAATCAACATTTACTTGGCGAAAAAATTCGATTTTGGCAAAAGTCGACTTTCCCCGGGAAAAATCCAAGATATGACACTTTTGGCCTCGGGTGAAAAAATTTTTTTTTTCATTTTTGACTTTTCCCCCATACTGTTGATAGTTCTGGATAGCCCGTCCCTCAAATAACCGAAATCTACTTTCACTGGGCAAAAAAAAACAATTTTGGCGAAAGTTGACTTTTCCCCTGAAAAAATCCAAGATATGACACTTTTGGCCTCGGGTGAAAAAATTTGTTTTTTCATTTTCGACTTTTCCCCCATACTGTTGATAGTTCTGGATAGCCCGTCCCTCAAATAATCGGAATTCACTTTCACTGGGCGAAAAAAATCGATTTTGGCGAAAGTTGACTTTTCCCGGGAAAAATCCAAGATCTGACACTTTGGCCCCGGGTGAAAATTTTTTTTTTTCATTTTTGACTTTTCCCCCGTACTGTTGATAGTTTTGGATAGCCCGTCCCTCAAATAATCGGAATTCACTTTCACTGGGCGAAAAAAATCGATTTTGGCGAAAGTTGACTTTTCCCCTCAAAAAATCCAAGATATGACACTTTCGGCCTCGGGTGAAAAAATTTTTTTTTTCAATTTTGACTTTTCCCCCATACTGTTGATGGTTCTGGATAGCCCGTCCCTTAAATAACCGGAATCCACTTTCACTGGGCAAAAAAAAACAATTTTGGCGAAAGTTGACTTTTCCCCTGAAAAAATCCAAGATATGACACTTTCGGCCTCGGGTGAAAAAATTTGTTTTTTCATTTTCGACTTTTCCCCCATACTGTTGATAGTTCTGGATAGCCCGTCCCTCAAATAATCGGAATTCACTTTCACTGGGCGAAAAAAATCGATTTTGGCGAAAGTTGACTTTTCCCCTCAAAAAATCCAAGATATGACACTTTTGGCCTCGGGTGAAAAAATTTGTTTTTTCATTTTCGACTTTTCCCCCATACTATTGATAGTTCTGGATAGCCCGTCCCTCAAATAATCGGAATTCACTTTCACTGGGCGAAAAAAATCGATTTGGCCGAAAATCGACTTCTGCCCTGAAAAAATCCAATAACTGGCTCTTGACTCAGTGAAAATGAAAATTTCATCTGTGTTCAATGTATATTCACTCCTCATACTGTAGAATTACACATTGTTTATATTTATAACACTTTAAATCAATTTCATCGGAATCAACCAAAACAGTTGCAAATGAATTCATCAAAACGAAGTAATCGTAATTTAATTCATCGAACTGAAATGTTTCATCAGCCAAGAAACGAAAATTGGTGTAGTCTTCTCTATGCAGGCGAATTAGGAAATAGAGACATTGTTTGTTTAGACACCTTCGACGGAGACTAATTAGGGAGGGGCACTTCTGACAGAGGGAGGGCAGAGGAGGCTCGCGTGACTCATTCCAATAGAAGGTGACCGAAGGGTCTTCGCAATTCATTCACCGGGCTGAGATGCATATATTCATTCACAGCGCTACACCACCGTGACGACTGAGATAGAAAAACCCCTGTTAATGCCTTCGGCATTAACTTCCTCGTCCTCGACATATGCTGAATCTCGGGGGCCAACTGCTGTTTCCTGCCCATTTCTTCAACCTTAAAATCTGTTCCCAAACTCAATCTTGTGATAAGAAAGTACGAGGGGACGTGTGGACATCAATTTTTGGAATCAGTGACATTTGAATATTTTTCCGCTGCGGGGGAAATGATTTTTATCTCAAACGACTCTTTTTAATATATAGTTTGGCAGATCCCCAATTGATTTCTGTCAATAGACAATAGTGTCGATGAATGCTAAAAAAACGTGAAAAAAAAAGTTGAAAAAAAGTTCGACTCTGCAAAAAAAAGAGTAATTCCTCCGACAATAGTGAATTGCTGATGAGATCTCACTTCAGTGATTGATAAATATTAGGAACGGCCAAAATATCTCGATATTTTTTGTGCGCGGATTCATGTTTTTAAAAAATTTATTCTCTAGAATTTTAGGGCCTGGGGTGACACACAAAGGCGTTCATTAGTCGCATTTCCCTGAACTCTTTGGCCGTGATTTTTTGTTACGGCCCCAAGTGGCCCCTCGCTATTTTCTCCCCTGATTTCATTCACTTCCCCCTCGACTCGTTTAAATATACGTTATGAAGACACTGGTTTCCCTTTCTGGGTACCACCTTTTCCACTCGCTTCCTG